GGGGGAACAGATTTTCACGGGGGAGCAGAATTTCGCACAAGACCGGATCTCTTCAATGATACCTTTTAAAATGTGTTTATATCATTATACCTACTTTTAAATGCTGTTCGTATAGTATTTTCTCCGTTATTTAATAAGCTTATTTTCTGTCTTTATGGTGTATTATACAGATTTTAATTTAGCTATTTCTTATTAATTTATAAACGAATAAAATGCTGTTAATGAAGAGGTCATGTTTGTTGCTGTTTGTTTCACGTCGGATAGCAAAACGGCCGGACTACGTCCACAGCGTTCAACGTCTTACGTCATTACGTCTTCATCTCGAATCTGGTTGGTCATTCTCTTAAAGGGAAAAAAACACTAAAGGCTGTGATTGGTTTGCGCCTTTTGCGCACGTATTTCAAACGAGCGGCTGCAACCGGTCGCGCGGATTTTTCATCTGAAGAGAATTTAAGTCTCACATAGAAGCTGGCTGCCGAAATTTAGTTGTTGGCTGAAAAGTGGAAATTCCTTGTAAATACTGATATCAAAAATTTTAGGTGAGTATGTTCTTGCAGCGTCTTCCTAACTTCAAACTGTGAAGCTATTAGCATAGTACTTTTTCGTTTTTCAAAACAACGTTTTTATCCGGGTTGCATTTACGTTCAGTCGATTTTGAGGCGTTAAATACAAGTCGTGGCAAATAAACTTTAGCTGTTAATGGTTTTTGGGCAGAGTGGTTGTCCAAGTCGACGTAAAATAACTTCACCGCGGTTCCAAGTCGGGCTTAAAGCTGTCAAGGTTAGCATGTTAATTGCCGGCTAATTGTGTACAGAATGCATTTGTTCAAATGTATGCTGGTCTATCCTTACTCCGTTAACTTAAAATATGTTTTATTATAAAACGATAAGTTTAAATTTAACATGCAAATTGACCATCGCGTCACCAACTTTGCGCCAAAGACGTATCGCGCCAAAACTGTTACCTAATAGTACTACTATTCTCTTTGGAACATGTTTTACGTAAGAGTTTTCGATTTCTGTCCATGTGTACGGTTAATATGGTTATAAGACCAAATGTAACTTTATTTCACGTCATAAAATTTGGGATAGCTTATTCAGAATGCTAAAAGGAAGTCATGTTTCCTGACATGCTTCAGCCACATTTACAGATCGGTTTATTTATAATGCACTGCACAGAAACATTCACATACATAAAAATCAGTTCATAACAATATTTACAACACTAAACTTACAATGTCTCTGAAGACACTTCTTCTTTTGGACTAGTAACTCAGTTTGAAATGTTGGTTTTACTGTTTTTATTTGTTTTATTGTTTTTACTGTTTGCAGTTTTATGATTTTTGGTAGTTCATTACTTTTATGGTATCTGTTAGATGCGTACAGCACTTTGGCCAACAGTGTTGTTTGTAAAATGCTTTATAAATAAAGTTGTATTGTATAATCCCTGTTCTGTGTTCTTTTGCAGAACTACACAAGCTGTTCGGTCAGTGCACAAGTTTTATTGTAAAGGAGTTGCCATGAAATGTCCTGTTTTTGACAATAGTAAGAAGGACAACACCATGGAGGAAACCTTTGCTGTTGCACAAGAGTCCAAGGTGATGCAACTAAAGGTTTCTCCAATTAAAGAGACAAGCCCCACCAAACCTCAGAGTTCATCCAAAGAAGTGACAACGGTGTTACTCTCAGCCAAGAACAACACCAGTACAGTTCACAACAAAGAAAACAACTCTAGAAGAGATCCAGGGACACTGGATGACTGCTTAGAAGACAGTGGCTATTTATCTTTGCAGAACAGTCATATTGACCTTAATGTAGAGTTGGAGGATACTCACACACAGGGGAAACTTACTGAAGAGCTGTATTCTGCCACAACACATCAAGAAAGGACTATTTTATCAGATAAATCCCCCTCTAAATGTCAAAGTAAGGCTAAGGCCAGCCATCCATTGCTTCTGGACATTGCTGCTACTCCTGTGGATCATTCTAAAAGGAAAACTGCAGTGCTATCATCCACCCCCTCCAACCAACATGGCAACCCCAATTTACCCATCTTGAAGTTTCAGCAGGACGTGTGTGAAGAGCTTGCTAAGAACTTCAAAAAGAATAAGAAGTAAGCTTTTGTTATTTTAGTTTTGAGAATGTATCACTCATTATGACTTCTCGTTTCACAAATAATTGTTTTGTTTTCAGTGTTTCATACTTTAGGCAAATTTCTAACAAGGGGGAAAATGTCTTGTTTTTTAGGTATGACTGGAGCATCATCCAAGAGGTTGCAAATGAGCATCTTTTGGATCGGGTGATTGGACGCCACATGGGCTTGGAGTACGTTGATATGTTTACATATTTGCTGTCCAGGAACATGAAGAGGATCTTAAACGACATCCTGGGTCTGCTAGGAGATCTAGACCTCATTAGGTAAATTTAAAAAATCAGTTGAGACATTTTTATGTTTGGTGACATACAACATTGACTCAAATATCAACGTTCGTGCTTAAAACTCGGGTAAAAATATAGTCCAACAAGGTTAATTCAGGTCCTCTGGACGGCTTCTTTTTGTTGAAACGTTTCATCTTTCATCCAAAAGACTTCATCAGTCCGAGGAGCCACAACAAACTCAGAACTTGAGCTCTTTGACTCAAATAGTAATGCAAAGATCTTGCACAATACGCAGTGCTCAGAGTATGTGGTACAAAATCACTACATTTTAGTTCAATCTATGTAAAACTGAATTATCACCATCTATGTTTTCTAGAGTCAGTTGACGAGTGGCCATCTTGACCCACTTGTAATAGTCCTGTCCTAGCTGTAAGTAAGCTGTTGGGGGAAGAATCAGTTTTGTTGTGCGTTTCCTTGACTGATGAAGCCTTCTGGACCGAAGGCGAAACGTTTCAGCACAAAAAAAAAGAATAAGTCCAGATGACCTGACTGAAAAATGTTGGATTGTATACCTGGATTATTGAGCATGGACTTTATTGTTAGTCCTGTCCTAGCTTTGGTGTGGTTCTAAGAGTCATTCACACAACTTGTACTCCAAAAGCTACTCGCTGCACAAGTTCTTTGTTTATGCTTCAGCGTGAACTGTTAGAAGTCAACCCTGGTTGTTTTTTTATACCTCTAACCACTGAATAGGTTTTTATTAAACCTTTTAAAAGTAATGATTAACGGAGTTGATTCAACATAGCCACTACAGCTAATCCACATCAGTCAAACCAATAAAAGCTATTTCAAAGACACTGAGCTATCATTTAATGTGGTCCAAAGAGATTGTGCGCTGATTGATTGACAGTTATAAAATGGATGTGATACCCGCCGGGTGATGTGCATTCCTTCAATGAATCCAAGGCCCTGACTTGTCTGTACTGCGTGTGATAGTCTGATTTTATTCATGTTTTTTTTATTTTTTTATTGCAGTTGTAAGAAAGTAAGCAGAACATGGAGAAAAATAATCTGCGAGGACAAAGCCGCTGTAAGAAGGTGTCAGCTAGCCGAGCAGCAGCTCAGGGTAAGAACCACTAAAACCAGTGGGAAACCCTTGTGCACATTTCATTTCATGTTTTTTTAATTATGTTTTCTTTTTAATCTTTAGGAGTCTAGCAGCTCTCTGAGGTCCTGTGGTCTGACTAGAGATGTAGCTGTGTCCAGGGTGGTACTGTCCTGCGTGCAGACTCTGGCCTCTTCGAGCACGCCATCGTCATCCTCTTTCAACCAAAGCAGCAGAAACGTTAAACGCGCGGCTAACTCACAAAAAGGCAGCAGCTCTCAGTGTTCTCGCTTCAATGAGTACGCACAGGTGGGCTTATTTTATTTTATTTACGTTTTTATTCTCATTCTAACAAAGTTGCTGGTACACAGATTTCCGTCTTTAACAAGCATGTTTTGTTCTCCTGTCCAGGCTGCCAGTCGTCTGAAGCAGCACGAGTCTCTGCGTCAATGCAGGCGATGCGGCTCACCAGCGATCCATTTGCCTGAAGTTCAGAGGGCAACATGCACTCGCCCCAGCTGCCTTTTTGACTTCTGCACCTGCTGTCAAGAAGCTTTTCATGGCTCAACCCCCTGCCGAACAGTACAACCCAAATCGCGCTTTACCTCCTGCAAGACGTCCTCTATCCTCCCCGGTAGCGCTCGCAGCAAAAGAAACCTCAGACGCTTGTGATGAAGGATTAATTTGTGTTTTATTCTGACTTTTTTAATGGTGTTTCTGCAACAGCAGTGTTTCCAGTGACTCAAATTGAACCGTGAGCAACTTTTCAGAAGCTCGTTGTGGAAATGGCATCAATATTTGTGCTTTCTATTAAAAAAAAAAAAAAAAGAAGAAGAAGAAATGGAACAGAACCGTTTCCTGCTGAACTGTGTATCAGAGGAGTGAAGCACTTAATGCACTGCTGCAGTTACCAGGATCAAACTTTTGCTGCCTGTGAGAGACATAAACTTACTCCAGCACAAAAGATTCAGGAACTAATGAGTTTTCAGTTGTACAGGTTTTTTTTTTATTGTTTTTTAAAATGTGTCTCTGCTTTTATATATCTTTTATCTTAGACCTTTTTTAAAATAAACATTCTTGTGCTTTTGTTTAGTTTTATTGTTTGTGTATAATTTGAATCTGTAAATACACAATTTCATAAACCAGATCTTGTTTCTTTGTGATTTTTCATCTAGTTTGATCCAAAAACTCAGCTTTCCAGATGGGAAGTACCATTTTTCATTCCTATGTTGTAGGAAAATGTTTTTTTAAGAGAGTAATGTTGACTTGGTGACATTTCACAAGAATGAGGAGTGTGGTCACATTTGAAATAAAATCAAACACCTTTGGAAATCTTCCTGATAGGGTTGTAGAACTGATCTGGTGTGTATTTCGTTGCATTGTTCAAGCTTGCGTTATCTTAAATTGGCTTTACAGTCACCTTTTTTTCCCCATCTCTGTTATTCTTGCAGAGATATATGAGCGCCTGTTTTTCCAGTTCAAACAGGCTGATCGGGTTCAACCTTTTAAAGTTTATTTCAGGATTTCCTTTTTACCTGGTTTCTTTTGACTGCTCCCTTCTTCAGGGGTCACCACAGCAAAAACTTGCATGAAAGATTTGGCAGTTGTTTTATGCTGGATGCCTTCCTGACAATCTGGGTTTGAACCCACAACCTGAGACTTACAAGATGTAGGCACTGAGCTACCCCAGCCCCTTTCTACTTTTGTACATGAAAAACTCAGTTTAATGCTTCACTAGATAAGATAGAAAGGTGCCATACAAGTAAGTCCATTTACCGTGCAGCATGACAAGCCCACCTCCCTGTACTGGTTGATGTGCATGTTGCTCCATGAAGGACACTCCGTGCGCAAGGCTGCCCAGTGTTAGTCCACCACCTCGGCTCAGACCAGAACTAGGCCAAGCCCTGCTGTGGTCTGTCCCTTGCAGCCCTCAGGATCTGGGTCACACTGAGTCCAGATCAACTGCAGTCCAGGAACTCATCAACTTGAAGGATAAGTTCAGCTTCAGGATTATTTGCGACTTTCCTGCCAGTTCTGTGAGTTTAATACCGGTATATAGTTTAGATTTGTGTTGCAAAATTTCCCCTCCATTTTGGCAGAAAGCAGTGGCTGGAAGCACTGTTGGTTTCTGGGTAGTGTAGTCCTTTGTACTGGCCTTACTGCTTAATAAAAGAAAACTACAAAATGGCACCTATCCAAAGTTGTTGTGTTTTTTTGGGTTAACTTTTTATCTCGTACTGTTCCAATCACGTGAGTAAAACAGGTGTTCTGTCGGTTAGTGATATGTAAGCCATATTGCTCAAAACCTTTGCATAAATGTAACTTAACTATTTTAAATGTTGGGTTCATGTAGAGCTACCAGCAATGTTCCACCTGATGATGGAGCGTCAAATCATAGTCCTCAACTCATTCGCCCAGTCATCTAATGGGTCTATGTGAAGATCATGTCATCTGGCAGTGAATTTGAACTGGTAAGTTGTAGATGAAATTGGGTTGTTGTTGTTGGGTTGTTGTTGTTGGTGAGTTGCTCTAGATTTCATGTCTTGCTGTTTCTTTTTTTTTTTTCCTTCTTCACTCCTATAGCACTTTTTACCTGGAGTACTGTTGGAATTCCAAAAAGGGCTTTTCAGCGTTTCAATCGATCCCGGATGACAATTTTTGCCCAGGAACTGGCGAAAATACCAGCATGCCAGCACGTTCCAAAAGTGCAGGCCATAACCGATAAGTCGTTCTCCCCCAAAAAATCTGTCATGACCAGTCGGCTTGCAGTAGTATTTCTGACAAAATTATAATGGGTTTTTATTTTATTCATTATTTTTCTAACAGATGCAGTCATTGAAGAGTTTACTGGAACAACAGTTTCCGAGGTGTGCGCCGCAATCAGACGCAAGTGCAACAACGAACACTTCAATAAAAAAGGGTGAATAAATATTTTTGGGACTCATCCAACCATCATCTTACCACTTCCTTTTTTTGATCATATATATGTATGTATATATATGTAGATATACGTATATATGTATGTATATGTATATATACGTATATATGAATGTATATGTATAAATATATATGTATATTATATATATATATGTATATATAAATGTACATATATATACATGTATGTGTATATATATACACACAGAGTGGGACGAATGCGGGTGGGGGCAGGTGTGGGTGATTCACCTACCCCACCTACATTTTTTTTTTATGTTGTCTGTACAAGGGCTTGAACCGGCGGTATTCCAATCACAGGCCCAACTTCACTAACCTCTGCTCCACCACTCCGAACCACAGACATATATATATGATGATGTATTGAGAACTCATCCTAGGGCTTATGATGATATTGACCTGGATGTCAGGTAAAAAAAAAAATAAATAAATAAAAAAAAAAAAAAAAAAAAAAAA